ATGTTTGCGGTTATGCGTGTGAGTGATAGAGTGCGTGTCAGAGTGGATGGGTGTGTATCGCCGACTGGCTGAGTGTGCATGCGTGTGTGTGTGTGTGTGTGTGTGTGTGTTTATGTGTGTGAGTGAGTGAGTGTGTGTGTGTGTGTGTGTGTGTGTGTGTGAGTGCGAGTGAGTGAGCGAGTGAGTGAGTGTTTCCATTGCACAACATGAGTCCCTGTTTCTTGTCTGCATGCTGTGTGCGCATCGTTACACTCACTCGCCATGGTGTTGTGACTGCATGACTGCAATTGCTGGCGCAGCTGTCGCGCGCACATCGCCAGCTGTTCTATGGAATCTACAAGTACGTGCAGCGAAACGAGCACGAGCTCACCTCCACCGTGACAGAAGGAGCCCGCATCACATGGCGCTCGTTTGAGCCAGGGTACGTCCACATGCCAACTCTTATCACGTGTGACTGGTCACCGAAGAATGAGGGGATCGCAGTGTGTGCATGCGCTGCGGGTCAACAAAGCATCAGAGCACAAATGATATGTGCGCACGGGGACACGCTTCACACGACACTATGGTTTGCACGGCCCTCCTTCATTCACTGTTCTCTTCTTATTCTTGTACACAGCATCTTCTTCATCTTTGTGCATCCAAACGAGCATGTCGAAGACACGACCGTCGACAGCTTTGTGCAACTCCTCTTCAACTCCTTGGTTCGTGTGTGTTCGTGTGTGTGTGTGCGTGTGTGTGTGTGTGTGAGTGTGTGAGTGTGTGTGAGTGAGTTGTTGTCGTGCGTCTGTGTACGTGTGTGTGTGTGCGTGAGTGAGTCTGTGTGTCGTTGTTTGTGAACACTGAGCTGTCATGGTCAGTGCACGTGGGCGTTGTTCTGACGACAGCACTGCTTCTCAGACGTTTCTCTTGAGCAAGGAGAGCCTATCGGCTGATGCCACTTCTCTTCGCCTCAGTCTCCGGGTATGTGCTTGCATGCGACAATGTGTTTGCATGTGACAGTGCGTAAACACCGCTCCATGTGGGTTGAGTTTGGCGCTGTGTGTATTGTTCGTGAATAGCTCAATGGCGGCCGCCTTGTCATCTGCACTGCTCGTGAACAACAGGCGTGCTTTGGCTTTATTGACCATCTACTCCAAGAGCACAACAACCTCGCGCTGCAGCGTACGATCTTGTTTGTGGCAGCACGCAGTTCACACACATGCGCGTGCTCACATACACACACTCACACCCACACACACACATTCACACTCACACACTCACACACTCACTCGCACACTCACTCACACACACACTCACACACTCACTCACACACTTACTCACACACACACACACACTCACACACTGCGCCGTGCACAGTGGGCTGCATGGAGGTGGCGCTGAGCGGATCGCCTGCGGAGCTGCAGGAGGTGCTCAACACATTCTGCGAGCACGCCGAGAGCAACTACGGCGCCCTTCTCGTCGGTGGCCGATGCGTTGCAGCAACAGAACCGTGCGTTTGGGGGGAGAGGGAAGAGGAGGTGTGTGTGTGTGTGTGTGTGTGTATTATGATAGGCGACCTCCATGACTCCGATTGCACTCACACCCATTGTTTACACACGAACACACATATTCACACACACACACACACACACACACACACACACACACACACACACACACACACACACACACACACACACACACACACATTCACACACACTCACTCAATCCGCATGTATGCGCTGCAGGTTCTGGGAGCTGAGTAGCACAGACACGTGTTTGGTGTGCGCCTATGCGGCGTATCTTCCAGCGAGCGACGCGTTTGACGGCCCAGTGTTTCTGCCCACCTTGAGTCCAGATGTTCCCCACCGCTTCGTTCGCCTTCGCCTCCTGCACAACGTCTACGTTGTTCTGCTCTGCGGCGCCCGCCCTGCGCTCCACACGCTCGTCCAGCAGCTGGTGCGTACGCACAGGTGCACAGGTCCTTGTTGCACCTTCTTGCGCATGTCTGCAGTGGTCAACGCAAACACTGAGGCACACAATAGCGTACACATGCACATGCACGTGTGCGCAAATGCACAAGTGTCAACAACACCGGCTCACTCGTTGTGTTTGTGCTGCTGACTGTTGGCATCATCAGGTGCCGAGCATATGGAAGGGCATTCTTCCGCTTCTTCAGGATACAGCGAGAGTCAGTTTGCATGCATGTTTTGCTCATTCTGAACCAGCACACACACACACACACACACACACACACACACACACACACACACACACACACACACACACACACACACACACATTCACACTGGCACCCACCACTACTCGGTAACGTATATTCGCGTACACCATCACAGTTGGAAGAGACAGGACTGCCACCATCGTCGTCCACCGTGCACGAGAGCGTGCTCGGAGTGCTGGCTGTTGACCCCGTGTACCACCGCTGCTTGGTAACCACACCCTCGCCAGACGTGCAGCTGCAGCACACACGCTGCCCAACTCGTCGCATCCTGCGTGCATGGTACAAGCAGATCTTGGACGCACGGCATCAGCTTGACACCGACACACAACAGGTGATGCGTCTGTTTATGTGTGTATGTTCATGGGTTTGTGCGTGTGTGTGTTTATGTGTGTGTGGGTGACAATGCCTCAGTCCATATCTACCAGGCACGCCAACTCATCCTCATCCCCCCTCCCCTCAACCTCCACCTACACCCACACCAAATCAGCTGCACGAGACGTACTCGTGTCACGAGACGTACAGTACATATGCCATCCTCCGACCAACCTGCCATGTCCTCGTCGTCTTGGCGCCATCGGTGAGCTGCAATGCCTTCTTTATCTTGTGGCTTGTGCTCGCTTGTCGTCCGGGGTTTGCAACATGTGTACAGTGGCCGTGTGACTTGATCGGCATTCACATTCACACACACACACACACACACACACACACACACACACACACACACACACACACACACACACACACACACACACACACACACACACACACGCACGCACGCACGCACACACAGTTACCAACGTATGCTCTCAAGGCTGTGGCGCAGGAAACAGCCGCAACTCTCTCGCAACTTGGCTTGGGGTGAACTCAAATCAACGGATGTCGCCTTCATGTCTGCTTCCTCTTTTTGTGTTCACATCGTTAACTCGGACCACATCAGAACCTCCCTCGCATCTTCGCTTGGCTTGAACGACTGCGTGCGCGTGTGTGTAAGATTAAACGTCACATTCCTCTCCCTTCCCCTTCAGCAATGTCGCGGGGTGAACGCTGTCATTCGATCAGTTGTTCAGTGTATTGCGCATCGCATCACATCACAAACATGACTGAAGCAAAGAAGGAAGGGACGATCAACAGTTTCGGAAGGGGTGGTTGACCAGTGGTCACTGCTTAGAAGGTGATCATGGCGTTCTGGAAACAAGGGCAAGCAACCGCGACAAGGGACAGCAGTGTGTGAGTGCGCAGAGGGGGGAGAGACAGAGGGTGTGTGTGTGTGCGTGTTTTGCGGCAATATGGTAGTTCATCATCACCCCCCCCCCCGCCTCATCAACGAACGCAACACGAGCGAGCGCGTCAAAGGATACATACCTTCCTCTTCTTGTCACCGCCAAGGATGAAGACCTTGCAGCGCTTGATGACCTGCTGTTGCCTGTTCTTGCAGACGGTGCACTCAAGACGAAGCACAATCTTCTTCGTGGTCTTGGCCTGTTGTTGGTGTCACACGCCATCCATTGTCGATCATCCCCGCACATGCAAAAGGCTCATGCATGAGTGTCACGCATCGCACGTGGATCGATCCCAGACATCAGACACCGAACCGTGACGAGGTGCAACAAGCACCCCACACCGCATGCGCTCTCTGGATGCTCAACCCCAGCCACACGTTTCAACAACACACGCGCTCTCCCCCCTCCCACCACCACAGCACCACACCTCTCCACTCTCCTCCGCTTCCTCAGTGCACGGAACATCGCCTCCAATGACATGCATGAGACAAGCACCTTCTTGCGGAAGATGGGCTTGGTCTGACCACCGAAACCGCTCTGCTTCCGGTCGTAACGACGCTTACCTACACACACGCAGAGATGAATGACAGCAAGGCACGGAGACACATGTTAACCAACGGCACACATCAAACAAGGAACAGCAGCAGAGTGTGTAGGGTGTGTTTGCGGTGTGTGTGTGTGTGTGTGTGTGAAGCGGCATGGACTGTTTGTTACGCCTTCAGTAACGTCTGGCACATTGCACTGCACGCATCGTCTGCACTTCATCATCGTCAGCATATCAGCAGTGTGGAGCCAAAGTAGCGCAGCACAAGCACAAGCTGCGTCAGGATGCTGCTTGTCTCTGTTGTTGTCGTTCTTTGGTGTTGTCGCTGCAGTCATCATCTCGCCCGTAACACCGGCAACCGCACGTGTGGTCGCCGCTGCTGCTGTTGATTGTTCATCTGCTTCGTCATCAACCAGCCGTGTCTCTAGCGTGCCTTCACCGCCACAAAGGGCCTCCAACCTTCTCATCACCGTGGTTCTTTGTATTCTGCAGCTTCGCCATCAACAGCGACAACCACCGCACCGCGTGCTCGCGCCATAACATCCATCACACATCCATAACACACCATCACACCACACCACCACAGCACATCACTGTTCTACGCACCCTGGGCGAAGAGGGACGCCTTGCCGGCCTTGTACTGGGTGACCTTGTGCAGCCTGTGCTTAGAGCAATGCTTGCTCGGGCAGAAGGTCCTGCGAGACTTTGGCACGTTCACCATCTTGACAGCAGCTGCTGCGGAAGCAGAGAGAGGAAGGGGTGGTGGTGGTAGTCGTCGGTGGTGCTGGTGGCGAGAAAAAGGCACAGCAGCGCTCGCGTGGGGTGGCTTGAGCGTGGAAAACCCACGAAGAATTGTCCACGATAATGCACGTTTTCCGCATATTGACAATCTGCAATATCTCCATGCAATCGCCATCGCCCACACTGAACGCGGCAGAGGAACAAGACGAGCAACGAGGCACACAGCAGGCGCTGGTGAGAACGAACACAGCCACCACAGAGCCAGAGAGTCAGAGAGCAACGTGATAGCAGGGGTGGGCTGAGTCGTACCGACAAACACAAGGCCGCAAAGATGGATGAGGACCTGTATGATGAGTTTGGCAACTACATTGGGCCAGACATTGCCTCCGAGGACAGCGAGGATGAGCTGCCGGATGTCCTGCCGGAGCAAGACGCTCCCCGTCCCATGGTGTGTGTGTGTGTGCGCGCATGCATGATGATGATGCTGTGTGCGATGCTGTTGATGATGATGATGATGCTGTGTGCGATGCTACTAAGGGTGATGGCAAATGGCGATGCTAGTGCTGGTGTGTGCGTGTGTGTGTGTATGTGTGTGTGTCAACTGCAGGGCTGGCTCATGCAGCGCACTGTTGCGCTCCCTCACACTGCGCCAACACACACACACACACACACACACACAGCAT